TTTCGAACAAATTTGGATTCATGTCCTCCACAGCTGAAGAACAACTGCAAACATAGTTGGGGTAATGCTTGTAATGGCATCGGTAATGTGTTTGTTTGTCCTATGTATGGAAACTTATGGGACACCCTGTATAATTATCTCAATGACATTGCTAAGCAACCATTTGTTTTACAGGTTACTGATCTTAAGTCTGTTTTAAGACATGAGTGAAAAAAAAAGGGCTACACCTTTAGGCTTATTGGGAATAAAGGGCTAGACCTCAGTTTGTATAGACCAATCATCACTGGGCGGGTGACGTGGTCAGCACACTCAAGGCTGGGTCCACGTGGGAAACAATGTAAAAAAAATTTTTTTTCAAAGTCCGGCTCCGTCAGAACCCGAACCCACGACCTTCTGATTCGTAGGCAGGCGCCTAGCTGCCAAAGTCGCGGCAACTCCTCGTTATAAGACATAACTGCAATTTAAATTTGCCATTCCTGTATTTACCACTTTTGCAAGGAAGGGGGTGGCGGGTGGGTGTTGTCTTTGATCCCGAAGATTTAGGGCCTCACACCATATTGCTTTCACAGGTCAAACTTTTGGGTACTTTCCTATTAGCCGACCACAAACAGGGGTAATTCATAGATCACGGGGCAGTCAAATATTTCAGGAGGTGGTAGATTAAGCGTATAGTTTTGGTTAGGTAAATGGAAGTCAGAGTGCATCTGAGAGGTGCGGAACCAACAGTCTGCATATAAATAAGTCATATCTGTAAAAAGGATGTGCATGCACAACCAGAACTTTTCTGCTGCAGTTTACGCACCAGTGACTGAAGAAGAAGCAGGACAACATTTCAGCAAGCCCTTACAATGTTCGCTTTTTATGAGATTCACTGACTGGATCCATTCATTCATCTTTCACACAGCAAATTATTTTATCTATAAAGCATGTTATGTTCATAAAGCAATATACCTAATATGAATAGCAAGTAAATACACAAAAGCATGGATGGCCTAAACAAAATTACCAATCATTAAACTGCTAGCAATTATTAATCCATTAATGAAATAGTGAAACTGGTTGTGAGAAAGAAATAATGATGTATTACAACTACAAATAAGCTGTAACTCAACTATGGAACTGGTGCCTGTGAACAGCTACGTAAAGTAAAGGACCTTTTTAATGCCAGTGCTAGAATCATATTTTGTTTTGCCATTTGGCATTCAGGGGATGAGGTGGTCAACAAACAAGCCCCCTTTACTTCCCAGGACATCACCGTAAATAACGCTGTACAGGTTATGTAAAATACAAGCTGCCACTGATCAAGAACATATACACATACACTGTTGTTGGCACGGCACCTTTCCATCTTTCCAGACAATAGCGTTATACCGTGTTTTGAGGAGGCATGGGACTCACAGCCCATGGGGATGGTGAGTGTGACTAGCAAGACCCGCCAGCGTTAAATAAAGTCTTCCACAAATAAAGCATGGGATTTTAGGACCTTTGTTGCCATAATTTGTTTTTAGTCTGTTTCTTCTAGATGCTCAGCTCTCATTTCTTCAATAATTTCTTCCTTCATTCTCATTCCCTTCCTGATGTGCACCCCTCCAAGCAACACAGTCCATGGCATTTTGTGTCAGCGAGTCTACCGCAATACCTGTATCATTCACGTCCCCCTTACACATCTTTTATCAAACTAAAGATCAGCCTTGACATCTTCTAAAATACACAAAAAACATTTATATAACCACCCACCCACACACATAAATAAATCAAGCATATGGGTATAAGAAAGGGAAAAGAGCAAGCATTACTGTACACAGCACTGGGAAAATGTAAGAGTACAAATATCTATCTGAACAGTACCAAAATATGTCTCAATGCTTTGGTAAACATGGTCACACCATATAAACACTTCATTTAGACCTAGAGGGCGTATGTATGTCTTCAATAAGACCTAGAGGGCGTATGTATGTCTTCAATAAGACCTAGGGTGGGGGTGTGTGTCTTGCCCATCTGCCTGCTGGACAGATGGGGCTAGTTTCAAATCATTATAAAATAGGCCCAAGGATGTGGCTTCAGATTCAACTGAATACTACTAACCACCACTAAAGCCATGCATCTTCTACTTCTGTGTGTTTTCCCTTCTTTTCAGTATTATTATTACTATTCTATTCATGCAACCTAGGTCCCACGACTGCATGCAGACTATCTGCCACCCCCTAAAATATTCAACTGTCTGTCTGGGGGGAGATATTGGGATAGAACCTTGATATTGACTTTATTTTAATAAATACATTTATAGTTAAAAGTTTATTTGTATTTCTAGACATGTGTATTATGTCAGTTCAGTGCCGTCTTTCAATATGCCTTTTCTGGACAGGTGCTTTATTTAATGACCAGAAAAGCGAAGCTGTCGGGAGGGGTAATCTAAAGGGAAGTTGTCGGGAGGGGTAATCTGCTCTGTCTACTTATTCAAGTGTTCTCTAGGCATGTAAATTTCAATTTCTGGAGATATTCAGTCGGCTCACTTTTCATTCACAAGCCAATCCGAGTCTGTATCTGAGTATCAGGGAACTCTGTATGCGTTTAGCATCAAGAGGCAGCTGTCCCGGTTTCACACTTAGATCAAGAGGGAGGATTTAAACCCACACCCACCACCTATCTGAGTATAACAAACCTGTTCTATGACATTTAGCAATACAAACAAACAAACAGGGAACTTTCATGTTCTTATTTGACAATGGAGACAAACAAGGGAATTATGTTCTCATTTGACAATGGAGACAAACAAGGGAATTTCATGTTCTCATTTGACAATGAAGACAAACAAGGGAATTATGTTCTCATTTGACAATGGAGACAAACAAGGGAATTTCATGTTCTCATTTGACAATGGAGACAGACAAGGGAATTTCATGTTCTCATTTGATAATGGAGACAGACAAGGGGATTTCATGTTCCAAATTGCAAAACAAACTATGGAATTTCTTGTTTCAAATCTGACAATACAGGCACACTAACGAGAATTCCTGTCAGGCAATAGACAAGAGAACATTAGTGAGCAAGCTAATGAGGGAGGATCATGTTCCTATTGTGCATTACAAGCAAGCAAGGGAATTGAAAATTATGGCAACGGAAGCAAACTAAAACTGATATGAGAATAAAATCATCAATGATGGTTCCCAAACAGGTGTCCCTGACTGATACTGTCACAGCCCACATCTGACCATAATTCGCTTCAAAGCTTCTCAAAATTCTGGCGTATTGTTTTTTTATGTAGCATGTGACTCTTGCTGCTGACTAACTTTAGCAGTAATCACCAGAGTGGAATGTGCATTTTCAGAACAATATTTATCTAAATATCGTATATCATCTCTGGGCTCTGTGGCTAATTCAATGCGAACACTACGTAATGCCAGGGATGCCAGGTTCGATCAAAGCTGAGGGCCATGCGCCTTTGCGTTGGTTTCGACAGTGGTATCAAGAAAGCCAACCGTCCAGAAAGCAATGGCAAACTCCTGGACGTAAATTTGCCTAGAAAAACCACACAACAGCCAGTGGCTGTTGGGGTTGGTTCTGCAACGTCCTGTAAAGGATACACAACTAACCGCCATATATCATCTACATTTCTTTAAAAAAACAGCTTAAGCAAATATGTACTGACAATTAGATAAATAAGTTCTTGAAAGGGAAGATGTCAGGAGGGGTAATCTGCTCTGCTCTGTCTAGTTATTAATTTAGTAAGTGTTCTCTTGTATCTAAGTTCCCCTTTTCCATTTCTGGGGATATTCAGTCAGATCACTTTCTGCACATGCCCATCTTTGGTTAGAAACTGTGAAGCCCCTTCCTTCCCCCCCTTTCCCCAAAGATAGCTGCATTTCATTTGCAGGACGGCCTATAGTCCATATTAGAAAACAAAATTTAACAAGCCGACCAAAAACAGGGAACACTGTTTTATGTTTCTGCTGTAAAGTGACCTATATTTCTCTAGCTTTGTGTCGTGTGACTGAAAAAGATGCGTTACTGATGTTTGATTCTCAATTTATACTATTTATACACAGCTACTGAAAAGATCATAATTTTGGTTTCCAAAATCGTCGTAATGAGTGAAACTGTTTAAACTGCACACAAAAATACCATAGGGTTCACTAATCAATTGAAAGTTCTTTTGTATCTGGGTCATCGATAATTTTTAGGTGTAGGGCTTTCCCCTCAACTTATACAAATGTCCCATCACATATCTATGTGTTTTTTTTATAAAACAGTACTGCCTGAATTTACTAGGTGATCTTAAACTTTTGCCCATCACTGTATATGCAATGCAGATGTTTCCCTGTTCTCAAAACTAAATTTCCTTTGTTTAAAAAAAAAAATGCTGCAAATGCTTAGATTTTATGTGTATTTCATTTGAAAAAGCCTGAAAGTCACACCTGACGTTGATTTGTTTACCTTACCTGTTCTCGAAACTAAATTTCGCATACTGAAGAAAACAAAAATGCAAATGCTTAGATTTTCATTTGAGGAAGCCTGAAAGTCACACTTCACGCTTATTTTGTTTATCTGCTCTTAAAACTAAATTTCGCTTGCTGGAGAAAACAAAAATACTGCAAATGCTTAGATTTTCATTTGAGAAGCCTGAAAGTCACACTTGGCGTTGATTTGTTTATCTATTCTCAAAACTAAATTTCGCCTGCTGAAGAAAATAAAAATGTTGCAAATGCTTAGATTTTATGTGTATTTCAATTGAAAAAGCCTGAAAGTCACACTTGACGTTGATTTGTTTACCTGTTCTCGAAACTAAATTTCGCTTACGGAAGAAAACAAAAATACTGCAAATGCTTAGATTTTCATGTGTATTTCATTAGAAGCGCTCCCAAGTCACACTTAACGATTTGTCATGTATACAATATGAACGGGAAAATGCATAGGAAAAACTGGCTGTTATATAAGAGCACAATCATCAGATTCAAGCCAGGGGAGGTTGTGATAAAGGAAACAAAAGCTCATATAAATACCTCATTCCAGGGCTGAACAAAGGATTCCAAATGAGAGAAAAAATAAAACAGGAGAAAATTATTACACTGACTATAAACATGCAGTAACAAATTTGTTCTGTTGTAAAAAAAAAATGTGTCTTCTAAAAACAGAAAAAACTGGCAACTTAGTTGAGGTTTCAACTTCACCACAATCGGGTCACCCCATACTTGCTTCGTTCCTGTGCCAGGAAAAATCAAATGAAATGTCCCTCACTTTCGCATTTGAAAGACTGGCGAACAAACAATTTGTTGCTGCACAATCCAAAATAGGGACTTGCAGTAAATGCATATGGCATTTGCTAGATGTGCCAAAGCCAACAGTCGCCACCAGAAATGCAGCTGATCGTTGATGGAAGAAGTAATCAGGAATGATAAGTTGGCTACACACACATAGAATTATTACATAAGTATTTTACCAGCCCACACGTAAACTGGCTATACTGAATACAACTCAACCGCTGCACAAATGAAAGGCATTCCACATGTAAAAACACGGCTCACAGGGCTGCACCAAGCATTAAACTCAGTAGCTCAGGCAGTGAAACCGTTGACTACCGTTAATATGTGGAAACTGCATTAGCTAAGCGCTGTTGGAAGCCAAAAAAACAAACTTCTAAGCTTAATATTCTGCCACGCCCAGTCCTCTATTTTCGACCGGCAACTGTTACAGGGTAAGCCATGTCTCACCTACACCTGACCTGAACATTAGGCTATCTTCCAAATAACGGTCCCAAATTATCGAGGCAGAAAATATACCATTGCGCACTTCCTGAGACTATACCGCCACAGCCGAATCGCAAACTTTTAGAGACTATACCGCCATCGCAGAGAGTATCTCCTACGCCGCTCACGCGTCATGGATTGGGGCTAAACTAGATGGCTGGGTCTCACGAGCAAATAAAATCAAGGCAGCTGCAGGAAATGCGGTAGCTGCTGCTCGTGAGTCCCAGCCATCTAGTTTAGCCCCAATCCACACCGCTAGAGCGGCGTGGGGGAATACTCTCGGCGGTGGCGGAAGTGCGCAATTGACACGTGACTGCGGCCCTGTTAGGGTATATTTTCTGCCTCGATAATTTGGGACCGTTATTCGGAAGATAGCTGAACATTATATTATCTCTAGTCACATTGGCCATCGCCATGAATGTGAGCCCATGCCTCCCCACAGCTCAACATGACACTATCGTCTGGAAAGATGGAAAGGTGCCAACCAAATTTAAGTAAACTAACGTAAAGGATTCTTTTACACACCTTCAGGCGTCTTGAGTATATAGGGCACGATCTACATTTTATAAACCAGTCGGCACCCAGTCAACATCCCGCTAGCCATCGTCACTTCCCAGGACCCACTTAAAACTGTGGCGAGCCTAGGCCATTTTTTAAAAATCTGCCTCCACCAGGGCCTGAACTCACGACCTCCGGATCAACCGACAAGCGACCAGCTGCTACGCCACGGCAGCTCCGACCGACAAAATGACTGCCTGTAATTTTTCAGGGCATTCTGATCGGGAAGTCTTGAGGTTTTACAGCCACACGGCCAGTGCAGTCACCATAAACTGTGAGAATTTTATGTTTGCTCAATTTCTTCACATTGTTTTCAAACCCCCACCCGCTGCAACTAAGGTCCTCATCACTGAGGTGTTGTTAATCCTACAGACAGCGGTCCTGGAGGGGAATAATTACTTCCACCACCAAATACTAAAATAACCAGAACTATACATATTAACAAATTTCTTGTCACCTCAATCTAATGTAGCGAACAACTAATGTAGCCAATAAAAGTTACAGCATTCTACATTCACTAGAAACTGCACTGCACCATGGTTTCCATGAATATAACTGCTAGGGGAACTAAGGCTTACAAATGTGAAACACAATTTCTGGTAAGTTCAGTAATATCTCACATCAAACTACTGTAACGAATTAAGTTAAAGTATTCTACATTCGCTACACGTCTACATTGCATTCCCCTAACAGTAACCACCAAACTGAGGTGATCAACCAAGGCTAGCAGTTATCACCAAACCACGGTGAACAACAATGGCTAACATAGCATCAAAACTACAGTGAACAACCTTAGCTAGCATAGTTATCACCAAACTAAGCGAACAACCGTGGCTAGCACAGTTATCACCATATAACTAAGTGAACAACCATGGCTAGCACAGTTATCACCATATAACTAAGCGAACAACCGTGGCTAGCACAGTTATCACCATATAACTAAGTGAACAACCGTGGCTAGCACAGTTATCACCAAACTAAGCGAACAACCGTGGATAGCACAGTTATCACCATATAACTAAGTGAACAACCGTGGCTAGCACAGTCACCATGAAAACTACAGTCAACAACCCTGGCTAGCGCAGTTACCACCAAACTGAGGTGAACAACCATGGCTAGTTCAGTTATCAGAGAGATATATAGAGAGACAGAGGTGCAACAAACACACAGAGAGTGAAAGAGAGACAGAAGCTCAAAGAAATTCACAGAGTGATACACAGAGAGATGCAGACAGAGAGATAGAAAGATGCCACAAATACTAACAGAGGGAGAGATAGAAGAGGGGAGGGGGAGAGGTAGAGCAAAAGATATTGCAAATGGAGGCTTACACACTATGGACTATGGAGAGAGAGAAGACCAAACATTTTTTCAGCTGGGTTCTGAAGCCGCGTTTTGGGAGAAAAAAAAATAAAGGACTCACTACCTTTCTAACAAGCACGTCACAGAAGGCAACCATGCATGTCATAGGCAAAATGACACAGCCTTGCTGTAAAACCACAACACAAAATGCCAAAAACCCTTTTAAGAGTGAACACAAAAGAATCATTAAGTGTCAACTAAAACTGAAATTTTGCATCACTGAAAGTTACAAATATCCTTACCAATAGGAAAGATCCAGTACTGCGATAACAGTTGTGAAAATCAGAAAAAAAGCTTACATGACAATGGAGACATTATACAATGACTGAAATACTTACTGGTACCCAAATCAGCAACCGCTGGCGAAGGGGGAGGGTAGGCCCCACTGTGCTATAACAAGCAGGTTGTAAAACTGAGAATTTCCTGAAATACGATGTGTTGGGCTAAAAGACGCAGGTATCACAGCCTAGCTGTAAATCACAATACAATGTGACAAATGCTCTTTTCAGGGCAAAAACAGAACATATTTATAAATACTAACCTTCGGCTGAATTTGGATGTGATGCGGTTGAAGAAAGAAGGTCGTTGGCCGGCAATGTTTGAAGAGTCTGCAGGAAGCTGAGAGACTCCCCCGGGCCCGTTGTAGGGCTGGGTTAGCTGCTTGCGAGCGTCGCGGCCGTGGAATGTATTTCTTGCCTGTGTACCTCTGGTTAAGTTGGGCTTGGCAGCTGCTGGTGAAATAGTGGGTGATTTTCCGGGAACAGTCCTTGAGGAATAGTTAAATAAAGAAGTTAGGAAAAAGTAACATCAGAGCAGTTAGTGGTAATATATTGTAGAAGTGTGAAATAGTAATATATCAAAGCAGTCTGCAGTAATCACATCAGTGAGAAACTGATATATCACAGCAATGAGAAATATCAACATATCAAAGCAAATCGACATACAAATCGACCTATATGCAGATTTAAACCAATAACCATCGAGTCGGCAGGAAAGTGCACAGTACAGGTTTTACCGAGATCACTGGAGATGATTGCTGCTGAAGTTATGGAGTTAATCCTTGTGTGACACTTTTGACAAGCAGTCATATATTATCAGTCGTATCTTCTTATTCTTCTGCGTTCATCCGAAGATGTAATTGCATTGTGTCCATTTACAGCATGGCTGCGATATTTGCACCTTTCGGCCAACACATCCGACTTCTGCGGGCATTTGTTGACCGGGTTAGCTTTCCCGGTTAATCAGTCATATAACATCCGGATTAATGAAACTGATCATCTTTACTTTAAACATTCAAACCTGTGTCCCTCAACCTCTTTTACACCTGAAGCTTACCAAAACAGCAGAAAATTGTTTTGCAGTCCATTTTCTAACCAAATATAAATGTACACACTAGTTTATTTGTTATATCTGATGTCGCAAAATCACCATTTTCATCAGAGGCATCATCTTTTGATTCTCATATCTGAAGTGTTAGTCCCACTGGATGAGAAAATCTATCTACCATACTGCCCTACATGATAACAGAGAAATATTTAGCAGCTCACCTGTTGGAGAACATTGTTTTAAACCAGGATTATTTACATTTACTCAGGAGCCAAAATTGTGAACTTATGAAATGTCATAGACCAGTTGCCCAAGCCCAAGCATAGAAAGATCATTAAATACGATGCAAATGGCAGTAATCTACATGCCACTTGCTAGGCATTGGCGGGCCAGATTGTGCCCGTAAGCCACCAGTTGACTAGCCTTGTTTTAAACTATCAATGTACACAAATCATCATGATCATCAATCAACAGATCCTTACAGTGTACTTATCTACCATTACAGTGTCCATCTTCATGCTGGTCTACCAGCCCTTCTTTCCTGGTTTTCACGCCCTCTGCTATTATTTTGTCAAATTTGCTTTGGTGCCTGACACCGCCAAAATATTTCAGTTTCCGAAATATATACATGCACTCTACACACAAAAACGGACAGGCGAAATCTTACGTTGGTCTGTGTTCTGTGTCTGATGAAATGGATGCTGGTAATTCTGGTCCTCGGGCTGATTGGGACATGCTGGCTGACTTGGCATGACCTTTGGGCCTTGTGGACGAGGTCGGGGTCACACCTGCTCCACTTGAAGGCTCTGTGGGCGTTGCACTGGAACTGCATAATTGGGTGTAAACATCAATCATAAATACTTGGAAGAATATCAGCTATGTAGGAAATACAAATCAGGCAATTAGTCATTACAAAAATACTTATCAGTCAAGACTTGTTCTTACAGTCCATACCGTGTGGCTTTGGTAATCATGTCTATCTACAACTTTCTGTCTTGTGTACTTTCAAACTTTTTTGAGACAATGATCCTCCATATCCAGCATCTTTTCTCAGTCTCATTCTACATCTTTTCCCCTACACCTTTCCCACCATCCTAATGTACTCCAGTTTTCTCCTTCTCATGACCAAAGTATGTAGATTCTCTTCTTCTGAAGCAGCCAATCAATTTTGCAAGAGAACATTCAAAGGACTCTACCAAAAATCTTCCTAAACCATCAACCACCATATCTTCAAATGTCCTGTACTTTCAAAAATTAGGGAACAGCTCCAAAGATCCTGAACTCTTTCACCCAAATGACCTGATAAACAACAAAGCCAAGCTCAAGTGCTTTTCTTTTTTTTTTTCAGACCCCCCCCCCCCTCCCCCATCCTTAGAGGGGGAGGGGGGGGGGATTTTTTTTACCCATAATAAAACCAATTCATCATCCAAAACACAAACAAATACTATCGAGAGTAAGGGAAATAGCAACAACAACAACAACAACAAAAAATGCAGCATAGAATAAACTAGCTCAAACCTCTTTGGGCCTGAAAACTAACTATACAGTGACCCAGTGACCTGTCCCCGCTGTAAATAGGAAAAATATGTCGTGGAGATTTTTACAAAGCCCTTTTTATCCAATTGAGTCACTCCCAGTCAAGATGAACACTTGTTCAGATGCAATGAATTCTGTTAGCAAGACATCTTGTAAACATGCTTCTATAACGAGGCGGGAAAGCGGCTTTAACAGGGAAATGTCCCAACCAGAAGTGTCAGTTTTGGGGGCTTCTCTGGGGGAAAGGGTTCAAAGTTGTAGCAGAGTCTGTATTATAATAAGAATGACACTGGAATGACAAAGTAAATAATTTAGCAGTTTTGACTGACAACAATTTCTTCTTCTGTTTGGTTCAGTTGATACAACGAATCAACATCATGGCACAAAGGTAGTAACCCATAAGTGTTCTGTTCTACTTCTAACTCAAGCCTGCACCCGAAGAATTTCAGTGCAGTGCACGAACTCCGTAGCATCAGCGAGGATATTGAAATACTTTAGGTAGATTTTTAACTCCAAATTTTGCCACGGCAGCGCCGTTAGGCTACTCTTTTCGATTTCCACCTGCCAAGGAATTTTTACGTGCGCAACATACACACTGACGTCCGATCTGACTACCCAGATACCAGGGAAAAGCACCAGAAGTCCCCGTGAAAAAATCCTAGCCTTCACCAGGGTCTGAACCCTGACTTCCAGCACTCGAGGAGGACGCCCTGTCTCGAGACCACTCAGCTAGGCTAAACTTTGGCCCAAAACATCCAATTTCAGATAACAATTAGCCAAATTTAACAACATACCTGATAATAGTAGTGGTACTATTCTTTTCTTCCCCCCTAATTGGGGATCCAGAACCCACATGGGACATCAGTTTAACTCTTTTGGTATCAAAAACGCACCGTGTGCTGATTTATAACTAATTCAACTTTCCTTGGCATTCAAAGAGCAAAAAATAATTATTTCATTCCAAAGAAATACCAACCTGCGTATGTCTTGACCATTGGTTGGCCGAGTTTTGTCGGCAGGGATCTGAGGCTTGCCATCCCCCGGACTAAAAGTGCTCCGCCGAGGAATGCCAGCACTCTGACTGTGACTCATACTGCTGTTTTTAGGAGTTGTTGCAGATGAGGCTGACCCAGAACTTTTTCTTGATGGCATGGAGCGCACATTCTGGCCTGCTAGCTGCTGCAGAGTCAGACAACAATGAGAAAACAACTAGTCATATTGAATTCAGTCTAGCTGTTAGAAAGTGGTGCTGACCACTGTGTCAGACAACAATGTGAAAACAACTAGTCATATTGAATTCAGTCTTGCTGTTAGAAAGAGGTGCTAACCACTGTGTCAGACAACAATGTGAAAACAACTAGTCATATTGAATTCAGTCTAGCTGTTAGAAAGTGGTGCTGACCACTGTGTCAGACAACAATGTGAAAACAACTAGTCATATTGAATTCAGTCTAGCTGTTAGAAAGTGGTGCTAACTAAACACTGTGTCAGACAACAATGTGAAAACAACTAGTCATATTGAATTCAGTCTAGCTGTTAGAAAGTGGTGCTGACCACTGTGTCAGACAACAATGTGAAAACAACTAGTCATATTGAATTCAGTCTTGCTGTTAGAAAGAGGTGCTAACCACTGTGTCAGACAACAATGTGAAAACAACTAGTCATATTGAATTCAGTCTAGCTGTTAGAAAGTGGTGCTGACCACTGTGTCAGACAACAATGTGAAAACAACTAGTCATATTGAATTCAGTCTAGCTGTTAGAAAGAGGTGCTAACCACTGTGTCAGACAACAATGTGAAAACAACTAGTCATATTGAATTCAGTCTTGCTGTTAGAAAGAGGTGCTAACCACTGTGTCAGACAACAATGTGAAAACAACTAGTCATATTGAATTCAGTCTAGCTGTTAGAAAGTGGTGCTAACCACTGTGTCAGACAACAATGTGAAAACAACTAGTCATATTGAATTCAGTCTAGCTGTTAGAAAGTGGTGCTGACCACTGTGTCAGACAACAATGTGAAAACAACTAGTCATATTGAATTCAGTCTAGCTGTTAGAAAGAGGTGCTAACCACTGTGTCAGACAACAATGTGAAAACTACTGGTCATATTGAATTCAGTCTAGCTGTTAGAAAATGGTGCTGACCACTGTCAGACAACAATGTGAAAACAACTAGTCATATTGAATTCAGTCTAGCTGTTAGAAAGAGGTGCTAACCACTGTGTCAGACAACAATGTGAAAACAACTAGTCATATTGAATTCAGTCTAGCTGTTAGAAAGAGGTGCTAACCACTGTGTCAGACAACAATGTGAAAACAACTAGTCATATTGAATTCAGTCTAGCTGTTAGAAAGAGGTGCTAACCACTGTGTCAGACAACAATGTGAAAACAACTAGTCATATTGAATTCAGTCTAGCTGTTAGAAAGTGGTGCTGACCACTGTGTCAGACAACAATGTGAAAACAACTAGTCATATTGAATTCAGTCTAGCTGTTAGAAAGAGGTGCTAACCACTGTGTCAGACAACAATGTGAAAACAACTAGTCATATTGAATTCAGTCTTGCTGTTAGAAAGTGGTGCTGACCACTGTGTCAGACAACAATGTGAAAACAACTAGTCATATTGAATTCAGTCTAGCTGTTAGACATAGGTGCTAACCACTATATCAGACAACAATGTGAAAAAGAAAAAGTCATATTGAATTCAGTCTAGCTGTTAGAAAGAGGTGCTGACCACTGTGTCAAACAAACAAGTTGCCTGTATTTACCACCTTTTCAGTGAGTGTGTGTGTGTGTGTGTGTGCACGCGCATGGGTGGGTGAGTGTGTGTGGTGTGTGCGGGGGAAGAGGGGGTCTTTAGCCTGATAATTTACAGCCGCATGGCTAGTCTGTCTCCATGACTGTAGGTTAGGATTGTATTTTTGCTACCAACTCTGTACATGTACACAAATTACTACCCACTGTGTACTGTACATAAACTACTACCCACTATGTACACACATACAAACTATTATTCAATGTGTACATGTAAACAAATTACTACCCATTGTAGTAAAAATATATTCAACTACCCATTGTGTACTGTACATATACTACTACCCACGTTGTACACATTTATAAATTACTACCCACGGTGTACACATTTATAAATTACTACCCACGGTGTACACATTTATAAATTACTACCCACGGTGTACACATTGTAAATCAACTACCCATTGTGTACACAAATATAAACTATTACGCACTGTGTACACACATAAATGATTACTCATCATGTACACATATATACTCCAGCCAATGAGTACACATTTATAAACAACTACACAGTGTGTACACATATATAACCTACCAGCCACTATGTACATACACAGAAGCAGATGCCTCAGTGTTTACAAAGTTGGGTTCTTATGCGGGTCGAATCCTCTTTTTTATCAGGGACAAAACCTAAACATTCACTCTGGCACAGTTAGGTCGACCGCACTAGCCATGAGGTCTTAAATCACAATCAATAAATCGTTTAATCTCTCTCCAGCAAGCACCCCCCCCCCCCCCCCACTTCCACATCCCTCTTTTAAAAAGTGGTATTATGGGCAGTAAAGACTTTGTCTTCTTCTTCACTTCCTCTTTTACCGCTTTGGGTGTTGAAGGAGATAGAAGGTTCAGCTTCTTGCTCTTCTAGCCACCTCAACCACAACCATCAACACATCGTGCTGTTGTAAAGTTACTTTGATGTTATCTTTCCATATTTTTCTTGTTCTGCCTGGTGCTCAATCTCCTTCTCTTTTGATGTATGCCTTGCATCAAACAGCATCACAAGGCATTCTCTCCATGTAGGCAAACCGTCTGGTTTGCTGTCTGTGTATGTCATTTTAAAACCTTCTGACTTTTTGGCGTGATGCTGACCACATCAGCCATCTTGTGCTGTTGGTTTATAAAAATATAGATCTAGCTCTATATGTCTAAAGGCGTAGACAAGGATCCTCTACTTTTCTTTTTACTTTTCCCTCTTATGACCTCATTCCAGATTGATTTCTTCTGGTCACTCTCCTTTCCAGATTTCCAAATCATTATGTCATTTAAGATGCCTGCTTGGTCAGGTGAATGAACCCCTCCACAACTGCTTTATAGCAGCATCCGTGGCTTAGGCGTTCTGAAACCGACTCGTAATTCCAACATACCACAATTGAAACCCACTGCTGGCTGCATGGGTTTTGATCATGGTGTGGGGTGTCGCAGGTCGACCCAGCCAAAATAGATACCAGGATGGCTGTCCTGGGGAAGTAAAGACAGCCAGCATAATGCTGACCACATTACCCCCCTAGTGCCGATTGGTCTGTAAAAATATGGGATGCTCTTCCCATATGCCCGATGCGCCTAAGGCATAAAAAGAGATCATTACTTTACTTACTTTTACAACTGCTACATAATTAGCCACACCAATTACTGATTATTTATTTAGCCATTAGCTAACGTGTTGTAACCAACAAACTGGCTTTGCATGTTGTGCTAATTAAATAATACTTTATCTACCTATTACAGAATATAATATGTACCAATTACATATTATTATGGGGCTGTACCAAAATAATATTATCATGGGCTGTACAAACTAAAAAACATTATTTTGGGCTGTACCAGTTGACCCACTTTATCCTCTACCCAGGAGTAAGTAACACATGTTGCACCCGTGCAATGACAAATGCTGCATCGATTAACTTACACCGGGAAAAAAGAAGTGAACATATGGTGTACCCCTTAACTAAAATTTGGTGAACCTATTAAATATGTTGTACCTAACCAAGAATTGACATATTTAATATCCAAGTCATTTTATATTCTGTAAAATCATCATCCCATTTAAAACGATTTAGCTAGACTAACATAAGTGGCAATACAGATCTCTGAACTATACCTCTCTGTCTCTCTCTCTCTCATACCCCTTCCTTCTAGCATGTCAACAATTCTACTAGCTGAATACAACAGATAAACAGTGTAAAGTGCGCACAGTTTAAACAGAAAACTTGTAAGAAAGCACTGGTTAGCACAAACAGTGAAGCATGCACAGCAAGCAGGGAAATAATGCAAGCAGGGAAATACAAGCTTCTGCACCTCCATCAATGATGGTGGAAGCCAGCATGGTCAGCTGTGATCAAATCTGGGAAACAGCAGCAGCAAACGTAGCTGATGTAATCATGCAGAACCAATGTTACCAACTGAACACCTGCCATCATTTGTCTGCAGCCAGAACACTAACACCAAGATGTTAATCTTAACTACAATAGTAGATTCACTTTGACCACCTCTGTAAATAAGTAAAAAGACGCTTTTCCATGCTTTTAGGCGTATAGGGCAGGAAGGGCTAGACCTATATTTTTAAAGACCAATCGGCACAAGATGGGTGGTGTGGTCAGCATCACGCCGACCGCCTTTACTTCCCGGGAATGCACCCGGTACCCACTCAAGGCTGGGTCGACCTGAGAGCCAAGGGAGCGAACCCAAGACCTTCGGATCCATGGCAAGCATCTATCCGCTAGGCCAAGGCGACTTCCTTGGCTACCTCTGACTATTTAAATATTCACTTCTGCTACCTCTAACGGTATGTAAATATTCACTTTGGCTACCTCTAACGGTATGCAAATATTCACTCTGGCTACTTCTAACGGTATGCAAATATTCACTCTGGCTACCTCTATCTGTATGTAAATACTCACTTTGGCTACCGCTAACGGTATGTAAAAATATCTCTAACTGTATAAATATTCATGTGGCTACCTCTAACTATAAATGTAAATATTCAAGTGGCTACCTTTAACTGTATGTAAATATTCATGTGGCTACCTCAATCTGTAAGTAAATATTCACTTTGGCTGCCGCTAACTGTATGTAAATACTCACTTTGGCTACCTCTTTATAAATTCACTTTGGCTACCTCTAACTATGTAAATATTCATGTGGCTACCTCTAACTATGTAATATTCATGTGGCTTCCTCTAACGGTATGTAAATAATCATGTGGCTACCTCAATCTGTATGTAAATATTTACTTTGGCTACCGCTAACTGTATGTAAATACTCACAGTATGAAAATATTCATGTGGCTACCTCTAACTATATATGTAAATATTCATGTGGCTACCTTTAACTATGTAAATATTAATGTGGCGACCGCTAAC